TTTTTCTCTATCTCCTTGGGAAACATAATTTGAATTTCCAAATTGAGAATCAATCAAGCAAATGTTTTTTTGAAAAAACTTTAAGAAGTCAAGAACATTTCTCACTCATACTAGCACTGGTTTATTACTTCTTTGATAACATAACTATCAATGATCATATAATTAAAAATAAATAAATAAAACCAAAATGGAACACAAGAGATAGATGACTATGAATTTAGAAAGTGTCACTGAACTGATATGACCCTGATCTGAGCAGACATCTCCCCAGACCTCCAGACATCTTCACCTCTGGTTGACAGGTCACCTGTCCAGTACCATCTGACCACCGAACTCCCGTCATCTGCTCTCTACCTCTCTCTATACACCTCTCTACAATACCACTATAGCCTGGACAGCCCCCAATTAACATATACCTTGATGGAACTAAGACATTAAGGAATAATAAGATTATATCGAAGAATTATCCAAACAGCACAGGTGGTGTGTGTACAAAGGCACTGGCAGTTCATTATCCCTCACCTGATCAAGCTGAGATATACAACCTGCCAGGAGAATGGATAGAAAACACCTGTCATTGACAGTGCATTGGCAGGGCCTCGTTGGACAGACAACCAGGCCCTGGGCTCTGTATATTACCTGAACTCAGGTGAGCAAAAGCCAGGTGATTAAGACATAAAAAGGTTCACAGAAGGTGGAAACTTAGTTAGGAGCTTAGACAGAGAGACAGGGGAGAGATGGACGCACTGATTGGAATCAATCAGACGTGCCATCTGATCAGCCTGGACAATCTGTCGACCAGATTGGGAGGACAACTTCTGCCATTCTTTTCTCCTTCATCTCTTGATTCCAAACTTTGATTGACAATGCAAGATCACAAATAGCCAGAGAATCCTGGTTTAAAAATCTAGAGGGGGATTTTTTTCAAAGAAGTTTAGAGGAAAAGTCACATACACAATGACACAAGGACTGCTAAAAAGCATTTTGCCTTCTTTTTCATCACAGTATCTAAAACTTATGATCTTAATTGCTGCTCCTTCTAATTTTAATATATATATTCATCTACATGAAAAAACAGAGGTAACATTGAATTATTCACAAAAAAATTGATTAATAAAAAAAGTCTCACAAGTAAAATTTTTTCATGTCTTACTATCACTCTATTTTGGACTGTGCCCCCAAGTCCTGCTTGTAGAAAAGGAATCCAAACACCTTCATGTCTCCAAATTGAAGTTTGTTCTATTATAAGATAAACAACTGGTTGTTTTCCTTCTGGAGAAGTTGCCTAAAAGGTGTTTTGTTTATAAAAGGTCAGCTCAAGGATGTGCAGTTTACCCTCTTCAGGGTCCAAATCCATGTAAGAAATGTATTTTTGTGTTACATTTTGTTAAATTAACTACTGGTGCTGATACAGTTATCAAAATAACTATTTTAAAAGCACAGAACTGGATAAAGTGCTATTCATTCTTCAACTTATGTTTTCTTTTATCTTTTTATTGAGACATAAGTATTAAATTGATGAATTGTGAATATATATTGGTGCTATTACAGCTAAGAAAATATTTAATCATTTGCAGGAATGAAACTAAATAAACTGTAATTCCATCCTTAAATATTTTCCTTTGCTTTTTATAAAAAATAGCTTAAAAAATCAATTTTGAATTAATACAAGAAAATAAGGCTACAAACACCATTTTTTTTCTTAATTCACCACTGTATGTCAATAGTGAGCGATATTGGAAGATATTTGACCAAGAAGTGAGCTATCTGACCATTACAGGTGTGGGTACAATACTGATAAGTGAAGGATAATCCCCAACTTAATCCATGTTAATCCCCCTATACACTGCCAACTGATGTGTGCTCACCCCATGGACAGAAAATACCAAGTGAAGATCTTGATCCATTAATTAACAATTCAAGATGAGAAGGGTATTTTCGGGGCCAATAAATTACTGTATGTGGAATGTTATCAAATTTTCACTTTTTCTTTTGTTAATAACCTAAACTGTAGATGAAGATGAGACTCTGAAATCAATAGGATGCCAGAATGATGATACCTTAGCAGTATGAAATCCCAGAGTTCTAACTTTCACCAGTTTTCAATTTCAAAGAGCTAGGGGTGTGTCTTAGAATACCTTTGTCAAAACCTGATCCAAAAGGTGAGACAGCAGTGGAAAGAGCACCTGTTAAATACATCTATTTTGATTAAATTTTATATTTAACACTTCAATTGGCTGGTGCCTTGGTATTCCACAGAGTAACATTTTCAAAGGGGGGGGGGGGGGGCACTGGTCATTAGAAAGATAAAAATCTCAATACAGTGTTAAAAATGCAATAATTGCATATTTAAACATTTTCACGGATTAGGATTTTTTTTCAAACATAAAACTTGCTAAATATATTTTACATAGGTGCTACAGCTCTGGCTCATTAGCTTTGCATTTTAGGATGTACAGCTTCCCTTGCTACACTACCCAGACTGCTAACAGTATTTCAGTGGCAACTTTTCTGCCAAACCAAATTAACCTGATTGCACTGCCCTGTCCAGGTCCATCAAGAGGTCAAAGGTTACCAACAGCAGAAAACATTAACATCTTATCCATCACACCTGATATAATTAGCTTTATTTCTACAATTATTTCTACAAAGCTAAACACTGATTCTATCTAAATATGTGAAATAGGAAGGGAGACACAGTGTCCAATAATATTCAGTTCAAATCTACCCCAGTACTACCCAGACACTCCTGGGACTAGTCAGTGTCTACAGGTGGTGCCAGAGATCTAATTACCTGGCCAGAACACATGCTTGACCACAACATTGACCACTGGTCAGTTACCCAGTACAAACATCCAATAAATTCCTCAGCACCTGCTTCTCTGAGTGAGAGAGTCCGTTTTATTAGACTGAATTAAAGCTGTTACTTGAACTATGTGGACTAGATGTTTTCATGTAATTTTCCTTTTAATAAACAAATGAAGGCTGTTCACTTAAGTTAGAAAATAGAAGGTTAAATTCAAGAACATCATTCTCTTCCAGTCTTAGGTCTTTTTTAAATACTATGTATTAAAATTAAAGTTTGGCATTATTTGTCAACATTTTAGAAATGAAAAGTTGCTGTTATAAATATTAAGAACCTATAATCTAAATTATAATATCCTTTGTCGCATAGATGTCAATGTAATTCAATTAACATATTTTTTAAGATGAACCATGCCTCTTGAAATTTTAATCAAAAACAGAAACATTAATCTTTCAAATTTGAACTTTTCAACACAATCATCGTGACAGCATGTTACATTTTATGGGATCAAAACATTCATGACCATATTAAGAAATTCAGAAATATTGGTTTATTTATTACTTTTTACACGCAACTTGGCACCAAACAACAGCAGAACAAGCATATGTTTCATAGGGGTCTTGGCAGTTCAATTTTTGACAAATTGGTTTAAATTAAATTTCAAGACTTTTCTAACCTTTGCTCAGCTGGCACATGTGTAGCGTAAAATAAGTTTAATTTCCACAATTGAAAAAATTTATATTGAGTCCATACCCTTGGTTAAATGCTATTATTTAGGAAAGCAGAAAAAAAAGGAACTAACCCTCTTCCAGTTCAGATAAACCTTGTGGGGCTTTTTAGATGGTTTAAACTAGCCAATCTACCACAGCTGAAAATTACAACAGTTGCAACTGTAAAAACACACTTGGCTAATCTATGTCAAGGGCTCTGAAATAATTAAAAATTATGTTATTTCCTAACTATTCCCCCCTAAGCCAGATGCTTTCTCTAGGTATAACCCAGAGGATTACCTTTCGTATTAAATTCTATCCTGAATTTGTAAAAAAATACAATGAAACTAACATAATATGGCAAATTTCAATGAAAAATACACTTTTCAAAAGTTACTTTCTTCCAAAATTTCAAGTAAGTAATTTTAATAAACTCAACAATTATTCAACAATGATTACCACATTGTGCGTTAGTCAAGACAATTAAACTTAGCCTCCCCTCCTCAAAACCTCCTTCTAACTGAGTAATTCCAAGGTGCAGGCTCTCTACCTGTGTAGTCATTTCCCACACATGTCACATACCCCAACCACATACCTCGGAAGTGAGGTACGGCGCAAACATCTCAGAAACTCATGGGAAATATGTCTTTTGCACGAAGATGTTTTTAATGGAACCAACATGGAGGACAGGTGGATGGCATAAAAAATGGCGCGTAATGCTCCGTGACAGGTGTGGCTGTTCAGTTAACAGTGGGTGACTCCTCAATTATGTTCCCTTTTACTTGGGTCTTTTCCTTAAAAATTGTAATTTAAAAATTTTTTGACAGGAGATGATTAACTATTGGATGGTTGGGCTGGGGCAGAACACCTGACGAAATGTTGGGTAACTGACACCCAAGGAAGCTACCACATGATTTATGCAGAATAAGAGGAAAAACAAATTCTAACATAGTGACACCTAGGGTGATAAAAATCCACATAACAAAACAGGGTCAGCCATCATTCTATCTTACTAAAAAGGACAACTGCCAAAAATTTATCAAAGCCAGGATAGATGGCACAGTTGTTTTATGAAGAATTTAACCTTGGAAGTTATTTTTCAGGATGTGAAACAGGAACAGGGTCCTCTTTCCAGGAACAGTTGGGGAACATTTCAACTCAGGCAAAACGGCACCATCTAATTGGTGAAGGTACATGTGGAAAGTTCATACCCCACAAAAACTTCCTGATCATGAATTTCAGCATATTACTTCCCTTTGTAACCACATATATCTAATACACATGCGCTTATCTATGTACTGCCTAAAACACTTTGTTTGTAATATCCAAGATTAACATGACTAGCAAAAAATAACAAAACAAAAAATCATGTATCACAAACATTTAACCATTTCTTAGTTCACACTAACCCTAAATGCACCCAATATGAAAAACCTCACAATGCTATCACCGCCTTTAAAAGTTTCACGTTATATCTGTCTTACCTGGAGAAAAAACGTCCATCTTTTCCAAAACCTGCAGCAGACGAGGGTGGATCATTGCAGAAGGGAGTCTGGATGCGATGGTTTCCAGCAACATTGTCCACAAAACCTGGCCCTCAATAAAGTCACTGACCACTGGCAGCGTACCTAACTGTGAACACAGCACTTCATGTCTGACTCAACAACTTCCTATAAGTTCAATGAAATACTTCACTTGTGTTCCAACCGTATCTTGCTTCCCACAAATAAAAGTCTGTCTCAACTTCTGGAAAAGTTCAAGCGGCTCACTCAATGATAATAAAAAACAACGCGGCACACAAAAAAAGAAAATCAGCTTGGACCAAAACTTCTAGAGTCAGTTATCTGTCTCTCGACTTCTGCAGCTTCTGCTCCTGGTGTGTACTCAAGGAACAATAAGGCAATCAGAATGAATGATTCAGTAAAGAAGTCTCTCTCTGTCTATCACTACAGTGGGTTTTAACCTGGAGTTCCCTGCTGCTTCTAGAGACTCCTGTAACCTCAGGTGCTGAGTCAGAGAACCAGATGTAAATGAAGCATCACAAGGCAAGACATAACTTTGATTAGTCCTGGGCAAGTCCAACTGGAATTTCATAAAGGGGTTGACAGGTGGTAAAATAGGTACAGATGAAAATAGATTAACCAATCTACTGACTTCAGGCTAATTAAGAAACGTCAGAATGATTTTACAAAGAGCTCTAACATGTATTTTCCCCCAAGATGAATTCTTCTGTTTCACTTTTTAAAAATCACTCAAAATGTAAGTTACCTAACCTTTTAAAATCACCAACTTGAACTATTCCAAAAGTGAAATGCCTAATAAATACAGGATACTTCCCTCATAACAAAAAGAAAGTGACACCTCTTAAGCTGGCATGTCACCTGATAAAGTCAAGTTTTGGTCTTAAAACTGACCTCAGATCAACAACAACAACAACAAGAGAAAATCCCACCTGGCTTTTCAGACACACAAACAAAAGGAAAGGTGCTGAGGAAGGGAGGGTAGATCCAACACACTGATAAAATTTACACCAAGGATGTAATTTAAATAGGTGTTATCCATACCATCATTAATACTTATAAGGTACTTTGTAAAGTAGAACTTTGTTAAATCTTGGAACAGTTAATAAAGACATCTCAGCAGTTGACAGTTGCTAGATAAATATCTCAGTGACCATTACAGGATTACTAACTGTATCCATGTGAGGAAATGGCTTAAGGCCCTGTCTTGATCAAAAGAACTTGGTTTGACCACTGAGTTGACCAATAGGTTTACCTTCCAGTGGTCCTTTTATTCTCAATGTTTATTTGTTTGACATGGCAAAGATGGTGTTTTGTTTCATTTGCTCAAATCTAAAAACATTTGTCACTATTAAAGAAACACTAATTTCCTTTCTCTCTTTCAGCAGTGGCACCTGCTTTTGGAATTAATTCAAGAAGCTGGGGTCCTCTTTAGGAAGTAAATGATGCAATAAAAAAAAAAAAATCCCAACCTTTGTTGCTTTTTCAGATTAAAATAAAAACCCACTGAAGTGTGCCTCCACATTTAAATCTACACTGGATATTTCAATTCCAGTCATTCTTATTTTTTATATTTATATATACATAAATGCACTTATTTAGCACAATACAAAATCATATATGAAGTAAGCTCATTGTCTTTGTAAACTTTCTGTTTGTACCAAATTATCAAAAGAGTGAGCAAAATGACAGTGAGACACTTTAACACCTGGGAAGGATGTTTGGCTCTATTGAATGGTCATTAACTCCCTCCTCTTTATTATCTCCATTGGTCAATAACTTCATTGTGTGCATTGGTCAGTAACTGCTCCACCTATCTCCCCCCCCCCCCCTGGCCCCCATGTAGCAAGAATATCAGGAAGTAACACTATAGTAAGGTGACAAAATAATGAAGAACATCCACCTCCAGTGTTAATAAACAAAAGACCACCTTATTGCAGGAGAAAAGTGACAATAGACAAAAACCAAGGAAATGACTCCCCCTTGGTAAAAGAAGGCTGGTCATTAATGGTGAGTACCATTTTGCCTATTAGACTAATTAGCCCTATTTTGCCTTGAAACATATATAAATATCTGTTTGATTAAACTTTGTGACAATTAACTCTAGGTATCTTATTTAACTTTTCTTACAAATTTTGCAGAAGTTTCACAATTTCAGTCACCTTATTCTATTTTTTTTTTACAACTTACCATTGAATTTTCTAATTTCCCGTAAAATAAATTAAATGTTACCTTTTTTTTTTGGAATAACTGCACACCTCCAACTAAGGATGATTTCTATTCATAGTCAAACGTGATAAGGATAAAACCATTCTGCCACATTTTCATAAATCATCATGACATTCAAAATTATGAGGAAGAAATAATAACTACGAAATGTGCCAAGTTTAATTATCCACCTGGACCTAAACATTTCTGTCCTAATTAAGGTGATCTGCATCAAATTCATCCACTTTAAGAGTCCCACCATAAAAAGTATGGCCAGGGAATAAGGATTATCAATGGGAAAATATTACTAATTATTCATAATTACTTATAATCCATATAGGAAAATAGAAGGCTATGTAGGTGTTTTGTAATAGTTTCCCCGGAGAAGAGAGAAATTACTGCTCATTTCCATGCTCATTGGTAACTTAATGGATCAAACTACCTGCTGAAATTCAATGCCATTTGTCTCTGCTCATCCACAGTGATTGGCCTAAAGTGCTCAAACAATACAACAATTATGAACATGCAATAAGATATATTATCTATCCTCAAAATGGCCGCCTATGGCAAAGCACCTGGCCCTAGTAATGGAGAAACTTGTTACGTTTGTGCTGGCTGCTGGTACACATCAACTAAATAAGCTATAAATCGTTTACAGTCCAATGGTCAGACACATTATATTCCTCCAATAAAAAAGAATATTGGAGAAAATTATCAATTAAGGCACAGGTTGTCTTTTGTGTTTCTACAGCATAAATGTTCTATGAAAGGTATGAACATTAGTTTATTGAATATTAGTTTATTGAATATCAAGGCAGCAGTTGCATGAACTGGATCTTTGTGGCATTTTGTTGTTAAATTTTGATTATTTCTTTGGTGACTGGTGACACAAGTTCTTTCTCTCTCTCGATCTCTCTCTCAAAAAATTCTCCAAAACTTTTTCTCAATATATTTCAATTTTTTCAAACTTGCTATCAGTCAATCCAAGGTGCATTATTGGTCACCTGAAGAAGAAGACACAGAGACCACTAGACAACATGGCTGTTATCCCTTCAATCTCCAGGAGTCACCACACTGTCTCCATCCTCCAATCAAATAGCCATCTTGATCCAGACATATTAGTACAACCTGGTGACTACTGTTTAAATTACAAGTACTAAAACATTTGTTATTTTGTGACACAGCTTTCAATTGCTGGTTTTAATGATGGTTTTTCCAATGAGGTGTACAGTGACGCACATACATGGGAAAAAACTGTCCCCCCCCCTCCCCCCCATCAGCTCACGTGCCCCCATTTGCTTGCCTTGGCCTATCACAAGGCTTATAGTTTATTAATTCAAGAAAAATAAATACCAAGAATGAGAGACCATGGAAAGAATTCAAATGATGTAAAAAAACAATATATTATGGTATGTCTTACAATTACACGTACCATTCCTTCAATCTTATGCATTCATCTAATTCTGACAAATGAAGGTGCTAAATGGCAACTGTGGCAATTCCTTTGTTTGCCATATGAGAAATTAAATCAATCAAAACACCAGTAATAAGGTCACAGTCTTCCTGAAAGGATGCCCTGACCTGAAAAAAAATACCACCGTAAAAGCAGGAAACAACAAGGAAGGTAATTGTGCAGAGAAAACATGGGAGATACTAATTACACAGCAGCCAGTTCCTATTTAAAGTAACATTAGTTCTAATCCCACCGTTCAGAGCCAGAGGTGTAATTACCACTCTGTGAGTGCAAATGAAAGGATTAATCAAAGAGAGAGTTGTTTTATTTCACAAAGATTTTTTTTTACCATGCTTACACTTTTTTACTTTAATAGTCAGGAGTGCAAAAGGTGTTCTGTGATTTGTTAAATCTTTGTACATGAATCCAACATCTTTTGAATTTGGAAATCTCCTTATTTCACCAAAAGAAGATCAAAGCGGCAAAAACTGAAAACAAATTTCGAAACAAAATCAAATTATAGTAAAAGAAGTCTAGTAAAGTAGCCATGTTAGGATCAATTTTAACAGAAAAAGATAAGTCTTAACTTCTCAATGCTTCTACTCAAAAGCAACCCCCTATGAGTGCATTCGGAGCTGAACAGCAGACTAAAAAATCTCCAGATCAAATATGGTGACCCACTAAAAAAGCTTGCCACTTCATTCCTGATCAGACACTGAATATGAATATGATTCCCAGCGGGAATTATGCAACAAGCATTCAATTGGGTCAGCCATATTTGATCCGGGGATTGGTAAGTTTGCTGTTCTGAATGTGCTCTAATTAAAGCACTACTTTTTTTACAACTGGGAAGTAATGAACAAGGGAAGGAGTTTTGTCTGAATAATATTAGGCCAATTGCAATCAAGCATTTTCCATAGGGAGTTCATAAAAAAAAAAAAACTTGAATTCAAACTACTATCAATGGAACCCTCAGAAATAATAAAAAAAAGAATACTAATCTCCGACCTCACACCAAAGTCACTAACGTGTGAGAGCTGTGAATATGAAAATCACGAAACATCTTCATTAATGCTGTTGTCTTATATGCAAAAACTTTGCCAGCTAATGAAGGCATGGCATTCTGATGTTCATCATCTCCAGTCTCGTCCTCGCTCACTGTCATTGTTGATAATGACATCTGTCACAGTTATATCCAAGACATCAATGCCTTTGCATGCACATTAGGTAATATACCACTGAAGTGGAATGATAATTAGTAATTATAGGATTACCTGTACCATCACAAGAGAGTTGGCTAAAACCCATCCTTCTGGTTAAATAAAGATTAGATCTTTACACTTTTTTGATGTAAAAGTTTTCAATAATTGTTTTGAAGTAAATGATTACTTTAACTAAAACATCAGGAAATACAATTCCTTTGGCCATAAACAATCTTTCTGATAAGTTTTCAAAATATTGTCATTATCATGAGAGGAAAATAGCACAAATTTGACTGAAGGTTACTAAAAACGTGGATCTGTAATATGAAAATGCATCTCAAAATCAAAACAAAACTGTTAATTAATCCACAAAAAAAAGATTCACAAGTTCTTCTAAACGGGTTGGATACCTGCCATAAAATGTTGATAATATTATCTGAGTGAGAATAATATCAAACTATAAAATTACAGATAAATGTGAGTTTGGTATCTATGAGAAATTACAGTAATTTAAACCTGCTGCAAATATAAAGATAAAAAACATGGCATTGAGTCAACAGAAACAATAAGATCCAACTATGACTATCAGTTTCTTTTGGCTGGTGATCAAGTATCATGGCATAAGAATCAAGAGATAAAAAGTATAATCAAATGCAGTTT